CTGGATGCTTGGCAGGGTTGCTAGGCAACGCCCACCCAGGGGGCCTTTGGAGGGGTTTGCCCTGCTGGGCCCAGAGCCCAGCACCCCAGGCCCCAGTCTGGGAACCTTTGTTGAACCGACACCCATCAGAATCTAAATTTCCAAAGGGGCAGCCGCAGCCCCCACAGTCATCTTCAAGCCCACAGAGCCCTTGAAAACCTTTTATTTCCCTCAGTAGGGGGTTAACAAGCTTTGGAAGGAGGGGTGCTTCTCTCTGCCCTCCCCCACCCCCCCTTACCGAAGCAGGGCCTGGAGGTAGGGTTCCCAGTGTCTTGCCTCAGCCCTCTGAGTGGCACCAAATCACAGGCAGCCAGAGCAGGCCCCTGTGGAACAGACCAGCCCAGGTCAGCAGGCTGCGCCCGAGCAGGCAGCCCCTAGAAGGCAGAACCACTGCACACAAACCTCCCCCAGTTCCCAGCTCCACTTGTTCTTCTGACATTTGTAGATTGCAGAACTCGGACCTCTGCTGGCCAGGTGTCCTCCAGGGACAGTCCACGCCGGAGAGTCTAAGAGGGCAGTGTCTCTCGGCAGAGCTCACGGGCTGGTGGGGCTCCGAGCTGGCGCCTGGCTGGGGACTACGGCATCTAGGTCAAGGCTTGGCACCTGCCTGGTCCGACTCCTGCAGGAAGGGAAGCTGAGGCTGGTTACCCTGCCCAGTCATGGGAGGGGTCACTGGCCCCATCCTGGCCCTGCAGGCCCTAGAGCTGGGCCCTAAGCTTGAGCTTGACTTGCCAAAGGAAGCCCCTGGGAAGGACATCCAGGCTGAGGTTAGCAGGGTGTGCGGGAGCCTCGAGTCCTTCCAGAAAGAGGCCTAGGGAGGGACGCGAAGGTCCAGGAGGACAGCATATTGGTGGCTGTGCCGATGGGTCTCCAGGGGAACCAATTGCCAGGGCACCCCACTTCCTCCTCCAGGTGCATCACCACCATGCCCGCTCCCACACTCAAAGAGGGGCTGTTGCTCCTGGAGGGGCTAGGAGCTGGCCGCCCAGTGTGCTGCCCTGCCCAGCCCTCAGCTCCCCCCATAGCTGGACCGCCCCGTCACCCCAGGCGTCTCCAGGCTCACCCCCACCCTTATACAGCCCTCCCTGACTGCTCCAGGGACATGTCTTCCTCCAGTGCCCACCTGGCTTACTGTCTGACTTCACCTCTCCTTGGGGACCCCCATTCACCCCCACCCACCCTGGGAGGGCTCTCTGCCCCCTCTTCCAAGGATCGAGGGTATTAGCATGGCTGAGCGGTCCCACGGAGTCGCCCTGGCTGCTGTCGGGCCTCCAGCTACCGAGGGTCCCCTGCTGGTGTGGGTGGGCTGGAGCGCAGACCGGGTGTGGCCACTCACCAGCTGAGCGAGTTGGTCACTTGCCTTCTCAGAGCCTCTGCTTTTTCCATCTGTGAGAGGAGCGGGAGCCTCTTTCTGGTTCCAGAGGCCTTTGACAGTTTCCCAGGAGCGGGAAGCAGATGAGGAGAGAGGTGCATCCACGCCTCCCCCAGAGCATCCGTGGCCAGCGCTCAGCAACCCTGAGCGTTGGGGGCACCGAGGCTGGGGTGGGGCTGGCCCAGCGCGGCTGACCCTCACATGGCCAGCGTCCTCTCTGGGCCTGCCAGAGGTGCTGTGGCCAGTGGAGGGAGCTGGGTTCAAGCACTCCCGGGGCAAAGCAGTGACAGCAATAGTGCCCAGCCTGGAGCCCTGTGAATGCCACCATTCTGGGAAGGCACAGGGGGACGGTGTGTGTCTGCGATCACTCCAAGGCCGGGGTGGGCCAGGGGGCAGTGCCCCTGGCCATGCCGAGTGCTGTGTGAAGCTGGATCCGGGAAGGGGGCAGAGCAGAGGTCAGGCCTGGGCGGCCCTGGAGCAGAGCCTCTGGGCTTGTCTGGACACCTTTCCCAGGCTTAGTTTCCAGGTCTGGGGACCGGACAGTGACCCAGACCCGGGGTCCCTTACTGGCTGGCTTACTTCAGTGGGGTACACTCAGAGCCCGGGGGAGGGGGCAGGGGCGGGGCCGCTCACCCCTGCCTGTGTCTCACCCCAGGGGAGCTGTACTTCCTGTCGACAGGCATGCCCAGCGCCACAGCCGCACGCGGGGTCATCTACAAAGTGATCGACCCGTCCAGGTGAGTGCCTGCCCACAGCCCGGCTCCGTGACCCCAGCCCCCACTTCCAGATGCCATGGCCGGGGGCCATGGGGCCCAAGTCCCTGTCTTCCAAGGCCGGAGCAATCCTGCCCGAGGGGCCGAAGGTCAGGGCGCTCAAGGCTTGGGGCAGCGGCCTTACGCTGTAGCGGGGTGCCCGGACAACCCTGACTTTGATAGGCCCCTCGCCCTGGCTGTCAACAGCGGCTCACATCATCGGGCCGTGGGCCCACGCCGGGCTGTCTACCAAACGCAACGCTTTTCTTTTTACCAGTGAGACATTTTTATTGAGAGATGAGACTTGATGAGACGCGGTGTGATGCAGCTATTCGGTTGTGTGTGAGCCCCACGGCCACCAGCCCCGCCCCCACGCCCACCCCCACCCCACCCTCACTTCTGCAGTCAGATTTCTGGGCTTGGCCTTGGCTTGGTTTTGTCTGTTAGTTTTGTTACGGTCCCCTCAGGAGTGTGGTCTCCTGCTGACGTATTTCTCCAGCTTCGCCCCTGCAGCTCCATCCAAGCGCCGCAGGCACCTCTCTGGCTTCCAGGAGTCCTCTCCGGGCTCCCGGGCCCCGTCCAGAACCCGCTTTTTGTCAGTCACCTGTCTCCGGCGTTTCCTCTGGTCTCTGACGGCCTCTCGGTGGCCCTGTTGACCACATGTGTGTTTTCCCAAAGCCCAGACCCACTCATGATCGAGGGGACTATGTCTGGAGACACGCGCAGCCCCCCGCCGCACCCCGTCGTACCCCAGGGTCTCCAACACCCTCGAGGGAGGGACGCTGCATCCGTGAGGGGAGAACTTGCCGGCTGTGTCTCTTCCTCCTCCTGTTCTCCCCACGTGGCGTGAACATCTCTGCATTGCAGCATCACTGCCAGAAGGCCCTTTGGCCGGCTGGGCGAATTTCCATCAGCCTGGCCGTCCTGCCGCCCGGACGCGGGGGTTTCCATTTGCTTTTCGAGGCTGCTTCTCCAAGGAAATGTCACCTAATTCATGCCAGATGCTGCCTTTGACCGGCGCTCTAGCGCGCACGGTGGTCTGCTGGCTTATCTCCGGGCAAGGGGACTGGCCAGAAGGGGGAGTCTCCCACTCGTGATTTTGTGGGCCCCAGGAACCAGCAGCAGCCCATGACCGGTCCCTGCGCCCCAGTTTCCTAGCCTACAGTCAGTGCACCCACACATGTTGCATGGGACCCCCAAGCCAGGTGGTTGGGAGCTGGAAGCTGAGGCGCCAGGACCCTGTCCCCCGGCGCTCTGGGGTTTATCTTCTACCTTTCTGCACAACGAAGATGCGGCCTAGGAAATGCGAAGCCAGTTCCCGTAGGGACTCGGAGCCCAGCCAGCCTGTGGAGGCCGAGTGCGTGTTCTCTGGGGTTGGGGGCGCCAGGAACCCGTCCTTCTCCAGCTGTGAGAGGTGCTGACTGTCACCTCTGGCCAAGGCCCTGTCGCCGGCTGCCCTTTGACCACATCTGTCTGGGAGCCACTGGACTCCCGGATGTGTGGACCTTCCTCTGGTGCAGGCGACCTGCAGGCACCTTGGACCTCCACGGAGCCGTCCCCGAGCAGGGCCAGTCCTGTTCAGAGACGCCGGCCCCACAGCCTGCAGCGGCCTCCAATGGGGCTCTGTCCCTCATGTCTACAGAGTCCGGCGCAGTCTCTCCTCTCCCTGCGGGCGTCACCCGCCCCAAGGCCCGGCCCCTGCATGCACTGAGGCCGCCCTGGCCCCGGGCATCTAGCTTGCGCTGCCCTGTCTCTGCTGCAGGGACAGACGCTCTCTCAGGCGCTGTATGGTCAGGAGCCCAGGACCCTGAGGGGCAGGGAGACCGCAGGGTCGGGTGGGGGCCGAGCAGGGCAGCGGGCTGGTCAGGTGGGGGCAGCTGGTGACCTTGGTCAGCAGGCAGGACACGCACACTCTGACTTAGTGCTCTCCAGCCCTGGGGGCCCCGGGCTGAGGCTGTTTCCTGGGCTGGGCCCGCAGTGGCCAGGAGGCCGCAGCCCACACAGCAGTGGCTCCACGCATGTCCCCTGTAACTGTCCACACCGGCCCAGCCCAAGGCACACTGGCCCAGCCCCTCCCCACCCTGCTGCGGGGGCGAGGGCCTGACACAGCGTGAGGCTGGCCCCTGACCCACCCGTGTGTCGCAGGCGGGCGCCCCCCGGCAAGTGTCAGATCCAGCCGGCCACGGTGAAGGTGAAGAGCCGCCTTGTCCGCTTCGTGCCCAAAGAAAGTAAGTGGGCGGGGGAGGGACGCTCCCACAGCCGTGCCCCTGCAACCAACGTGGGAGCCCTCAGCTGGGCCTGGACGCCCTCCTCCACCCTGCGGGGCACCCTGCGGCCTGGCACCCATCAGGCACCAACTCCTTGACCCCATCACTTGGGTGCTGCGTGCCAGGTGCAGGGGCCCGAGGGGCTGCAGGCCTCAGAGGGGACACAGCAAAGGGAGAACAGCCGGCTCCAGGCGAGGCATGGTAGAGTCCATGGGAGGGACAGGGAGAGCGTGGCGCCCAGCTGGACAGTCAGTCCAGGCGCCAGGGCCCCTTGGGGAGGCCTTCAGCCCCACCTCCCTAGCACCTCCCCCTGGGGGGGGGGCACCAGGCAAGACCACCTGTGGCATCAGGGGCACTGAAAGGGGTGTAGCCAAGGAGGGCACTGTCCCGGGGCCAAGCCAGCTGGGCACAAAGGCCCAGGGGCTCAAGACCCTCCATTTTGCAAGGGGAGTGGGAAATCCACCCACCGGTCAGTTACCCTCCCCCGCTGACCACAGTGTGTGCTCATTTGGTGGACCAAGGTGGACACTGACCAAGTCTTGGAGGAGCTCCTGAGTCTTGGTTTGTTTGTAGTCTCCTAATTCGAAACCCACCCAAGGGTCAAGAGAAATGTTCAGGGGCCCAGGGCACCCCCAGGTCATCGGCGGCCGGATCCCAGGGTGGGGGACAGGAAGAAGGTGAAGCCGGGCACCCAGCTGTGGGCTGGGAAGCCAGTGTTTGAGGAAGTTTTCCTTAGTCGCACTGGGAGCCTTTTGAAGCATATATATTTATTTTTCATTTTCATTTTGGGCCTTTTCTTAGTTGCCTGCCCTGAGTCTGGAGGGGAGGGTGCTCCCTGCTGCCAGGCCCTAGGCAGGCTGCCAGGCTGCTGGAGGCCTGTGTGATTTTTCCCACCAGTGGGCCTCACCTTCCTCAGCCAAAGAGTGGGGGGACACCCAGCAGCAGGCTGGCACAGCTGGTGGGGAGGCTGAAGCAGCTTGGAGCTTCCAGCTCCAGGCTGGCACCCCGACCTCAGGGCCTGGGGGGGGACATCTGCCCCTGGACCCCACTGCAGGTGGGGAGCTGGGGGCTGAGGGGCCCAGGGTCCCCCTGACAGCACGTTTTCCCACGGTGTAGAATTCATCTGGAGGCCCGAGAGCACCCCGCGCCCCACGGCACGAGCACCCACCAAGGCTCCCCGTCGCAGCCGCCC